CAACCACCTAGCCAAATTCGATGAAATTTTTTTTATTTTGGTTCTATAGTTTTGTAGAATCAAAATAAAAAAAAATTCATCGAATTTGGCTAGGTGGTTGTTGAGATATCATCGCTCAAAGTTTTGAAACATCTATCAAAATAATAGTTATAACAAAATTTGTATAAAACTTTGAGCAAAATTATCTCAGCAACCATCTAGCCAAATTCGATGAATTTTTTTTATTTTGATTTTACAGAATAGTTGAATCAAAATAAAAAAAAATTTATTGAATTAGATTAGGTGACTATTTAAATATCTTTATTCAAATTCTTAAAAAATTTTAAATTCTATGGGATATGATGTATCAAGAATGCTATCTAAATTTAGGGTATGATCTGTGTCTATCAAAAAAGTAACTACAGATCTATCAAAAATAAAACTTTTGCTTCTGGGGTAGTTTTAAAATCAAAAAAATCACATGATTAAATGCCTATTAAAAACAAAACTAGTAGTAAAATACTGCCAAATTTTGTAATATTTATCTGCAATTTGAATATAAATTTATATATATTATAAGTTGTTGATTATAAAAGATCAAGCCTTTTAGGATGCTTAATTAATGAATTTCTTAATTTTTTGTATTCTTTTAAGAATAATGATTTTTGGTTTTTAATCATACTATATTTTAAAAAGGAAGATTCTATTATTTTAACAAATCTATTTTTTTTGCTGATCATGATTAATCATATTTTCAAGTTTTTTGATATCTTTATACTAGTTAGTACTATGAAGTCAATATTAAGATCCTTGCATCTCTAATACGATTTAATATTTTTAGAAGAAGGTATCAAGCTTTAATCTGTTTAAGAAAGAAGAGTAATATTTAGTAATAGGTTTCTTGTTAAGAATTTCCTTATCTATCAAAATATAGTTAAAAATTTGCAATTTTTCTTAGATTCTAATTTTTTTGTATGTGCTTCTATAAGTAACTTTAATAGTTCTGCATTCTTAGTTTTAAGCACAGTATTCTTAGTCTTAAGTTTGACATATTTGGCATATTTAGTTTCAAATTTGGTATTCTTAGCTTCAAGCTCAATAATCCTAGTCTTAAGTCTATTATATTTAATATTCTCAGCTTTGAGCTTAGCAATTTTAGCTTTAAATCTGATATACTCAACATTCTTGATTTCAAGCTCAGTATTCTTAGCTTCAAACTTGGCTTTCTTAGTCAAAAGCTTAACTTTTCTTGTTTTGATGAATCAATTTCAGGTTACATAATATTTTTTTTTATACAACATGAAAATTATTTAATGTTATATAGCAAATATAATTATTCATTTTATTTATTTTAAAATATGAAAATAAAAATTCACATACACTTTGCTAAGAAAAATTTTTATTAATATTTATGAAAAATAAATACAAATATTCAGAATCTAGCTCATGATATATGATGTTTATACTATTGTCTGTAAACTAATATCTGTATGAAAAAATTCTTGATTATATGCAAGTAATGTATATTGATAATAATATAATAAAATAATTTTATAAAATATATATACAAAGTAAACAGATTATTTATATGAACTTGATCACCAGGCCAGCTTTATTTATACTGCAAAAATAGTACAAAGTATATTTTATGAACTAATCTAATTATAACAACATGTTACATATAACAACCCCAAAAATTAGTCTAACTATAGTAACCTGGTAATCAACGAATAAAATCGAAATTGTATCAAAATTTTTATACAACTTTGATCAAAGGTATCTTGATGCCTAATTGACCAAATTTGACAAAAATTTTTTTATTCAAATTTTACAGAACTGTAGAATTCAAATAAAAAAAATTTTATCAAATTTGGTCAAGTGGGTACTGATATATCTTTGATCAAAGTTTGAGAATCTTTAAAATGTTTATTAGAAATTTTACAAAAATTGTTAACACAACTTTGATCAAAGATATCTCGGTACCCACTTGACCAAATTTGATAAAATTTTTTTTATTCAAATTTTATAGTTCTGTAGAATTCAAATAAAAAAATTTTTGTTGAATTTGGTAAAGTTGGTACTAAAATATCTTTGATCGAACTTGGAGAATTTTTTTAATAACTGATAATATAAAAACTATATTATACAACTTTAATCAAAAATATCATAGCACCTACTTGACCAAATTTGATAAAAAATTTTTATTAGAATTCCACATAACTTTAGAATTTGAATAAAAAATTTTCATTAAATTTGGTCAAGTGGATGCTAAGATATCTTTGATTAAAGTCTAAGAACTTTAATATACTAATGATATAGAAACTATATTAAAATTTTAGAACAACTTTGATCGAAGATATTTTAACATCTACTTAATCAAATTTGATAAAAATTTTTTTATTTGAATTTT